ATATTCAAGGTATAAAGACAAAATGGTGTGTGGTGTGGCCAAATTAGGGTAATTGTGGGAGGGGCTTAAAGAGGTATGGTTTAATTAAATCTGAGCCTACTCTGCTATGAATCAAGAGTGCGTAATGGACAGAGTGCAGAGGTTTAGGAGTGTGTAACATACATAGTGAAGGCTCAGGAGTGTACAATGCACAAAGTGTAAGGTTAGGAGCGTATAGTGTACAGAGGCCAGCAATGTAAAATGCACAGAGTTCAGGGGTCTGAATGTATAATGCACAGAGTGCAGGGGTCATGAGTGTATAATGCACAAGGTGCAGAGATCATGAGTGCATAATGTACAAAATGCAGAAGTCAAGAACAGATAACTCACAGAAAGCAGAGAACAAAGGTCAAAGTAAGAAAAACACAGAGCACAGGTCAGAAGTAAGTGACACAGAATGCAGGGGTCATGACTAAGTAACACAGAGAGCAGAGGTCAGCAGTAAGTAATGTATGGTCAGGAATGTGTAATGCACACAGTGCAGAGGCCAGGAATGTGTTAAGTACAGAGTGCAGAGGTCAGGAGTGCACAAAGCACAGAGTGCAGAGATCAAGAGCAAGTAACACACAGAAAGCAGAGGTGAGGCGTAAGTAACATGCAGGGCTGCGGGATAAGTAACATACAGAGTGCAGGGGTCAGGAGTAGATAATGCATAGAGAACAGAGGTCAGGATTAAGTAACACAGGAATTCAGATGACAAGAGTAAGTGATGCAAGAGAGCAGAGGTCAGGAGTAAGTGATGCACAGAATGCAGAGATTCAAAGTAGGTAACACATGGAGAGCAAAGGTTAGGTAATGCACAGAGAGCAAAGGTCAGGAGTAAGTAACATACAGAGTGCATAGGTCAGGGGTAAGACTCATTTAAAAAAAAAAAACAATTGCAACTTGCACTTCAGGGTTTCCAGGTAATAAAGGGTCAAAGAGCTTTCCAGGGAAGCAAAGAAGATATAAAAATACTTTAACTGCATGTCATAAGTCCTCTGTGAACAGCCAAGAGGCTGTGTGGGGAGGAAAGCCAATGTTCCTGACCATGAGGCAATGCAGTGTGAATATTACACTGTGCAGGTGCCTAAACCACCCCAAAATGGTGCTAATGGCTCCCTAGCCAAAAGCCAGAAAAGGAAAACGGGCCCACTGCACAAGTATTTTCATGCATGTGCAACTGGCTACAGTGTCCAGCAGCACCATTTTGGGGTGGCCAATTTTACACTGCTCTGCCTCATGGCTGAAGACAATGCTGGAAGAGCTTGTTTCACAATGACAGACCCTCAAAAATGGAGACAGTCCATGAGAAACATGGACAAACGGTAACCTTAACCTAAATGGAAGCTAAAGCCAGTATCCAAATATTTTATAAACTTTAACACAATGTCACTTAAAAAGTAATTTTCGTTATTTTGAAATCAACATCTTACAGTAAAATATTGGCTGGTAATGGGTATTCTTCAGGTCCCTTCTTTTATACTGTAGTGTGATAACAATCTCCTAACTGTTCCTTGGTTTTATACTTTGATATGTTCCCCTGGTGGAAACTACAAGTGACTGTGCTTTTACACACATCGAACAGGCATTATCCACTGCTATCAATATCAGAATCACAGCCCAGAACTGTATAACGATGTGCAGCAGGTCATGTAACCTGGAGTGAGTGCATGTGGACAGGAAATGGATGAAAGAGTTGTGAAAAGGCATACAAATGTACCCCGGTACTTAACTGGCAGGAGAGGACCAGCTGCAATTTCACTCTGTCTGCTGCTGCTTCTGTGTTTATGCCCACAAAAGATTTCTACACAAGCACAGACATATCAAAGATTCTCATTGTAGAACTGTTACAGCCAGTATTCATTTGGCTAGAGGGCACCTGAGGGTTACAGATTGCAAGAGATTCTGAGGATTGTAGGGAATGTAGTTCACTGAAGATATTCAGCCATTACTACAGGATTGCTATACAGCACAATTCCAAGGAGAGGGACATTAAAGAGGAAGGGTTGAAATCGTTTTCCTGGGCTGAGAGAGCAAGAGGGCTCTCTTTCTGTGAGGAGACCAGGACTGGACCAGACTGCAACCCACCTGAGAGCAGTGAAAGCAGTGAGCAGGTGATCCCTACCTGACAGCAGTGAAAGCGGAGTGGACACTATTACTTAAAGTGAGACCTGGACTTTGTGGAGTCTGCTGTGCAGTTAAAGAGCCAGATACTGTGGACGCCTTCAGAAAGACAGAAGGACCCCTTTGCCTGGTTGGTAGATGCTTGCACAAGACTGGAGAACAGGTGCTGGCCACCCATATACCACAGTTTACCAGCAAAGGACATATTTGCTTGCTCAAAACACTTTGCCATTGCATACATAAACTTTTGAAGGAATGCTAGGGCTTCAACGCAAGGTTTTGGGCCCTAATAAGCTGGCCAACAGAAGGTCTAAAACATGTGCCCTAGTGATTACTAACTGTAACTGTGGTATAGGTCCTCCCCCTATTTAGGCTTACCCAGTGCAGGTTTAAGAAAGAGGTGAACTATTTCACATTCGCTGTCTGCTGTCTGGTATTTACACCAGTTAAAAATTACAGTAATACTATTTGCTGTTGTTTGATTGTTGACTGCTGTGGTATATCGTCTAACTGTGAACTGGTCCAGTATAATATTTCCTTGCTAGTTCTGCATTAATGTACTCAGTGGTATATATATATATATATATATATATACATATATATATATATATATATAATGCCCACAAGATTAACATTGGGGCAGAGTGCCACGCTTCAGAGCATTGTTTTTGGATTGTGCCTGGTTTATCAGTGTTTACTGGGTTTCATAATTCCAGATTGTGGCCTGGAACTTAAAGCTTTCAAAGTGTGTTGGGTGGGACAAAGCCTTTAATCCTGTATCCAGGTCTTGCTGGAGACCTGCAGGCCATGTGAGTGCACAGGTGTGCAGATTAGTTATAAGCCAGGCCTGAGCTCAAGGTTCCCATTTGGAGAGAGTTGTGTGCTCCAACCAGGCGGGTTGTGTGTGTTCCTGCCCAGAAATTGCACCCCATGTTGGGGGGATTCCTTGCCCACAGGACTGGAAGAGTCAGGACAGCTGCTCAAGTCTGGGGGGGGGGGCTGAGAAACCTGAGGCCACTAGTGAGTCCAAAGGACTGGAGGGAGTCTGTAGGCAGTCCCCTCACAACCATCTTGAGATCTGAACGGCCATTTTGTGTTGGCTCCTCTATATAAACGGAACCCAGCCACAATTTTGAGGAGCTCTTTTATGTATATAGAAAGGGACAGATAGCCAGCTTTGCTAGGGCAAGCTAGGCTTTACTTAGGAAGAGTGTTCCAGCCTCAGGGACAAAACAGGGATTCTCTGAAGGCCTGCCTATCATAACTGTTGCTGCGTTTGAGAAGAAAGGCTATCAGAGTCTGTATATCTGCTGCATTTGTGTCACCTGCGTATGGACTCCAGCCTCTGTCAAGTAAACAATATGTGCCATATATAACACATCTGTGCTTGTAGTGAGGATATCGCAGTGCCAGAAGTGCAGTGCAGAAAGCTCCTTTGTTTGCAATAACACACAGTGTGATGCCCTCTATCAAATAGCCACATTTAATCCTGCCTACCAGTCTGTACATATTTGGAGAATGAGAGAGCCTGGGGTGTCAGGAGAACCTCTATTCAGAGACCAGGAGTGGGCCCATGCAGTGGTGTGCTGCAACTAAAGGCTGAGTGAGCCATGAGAGCCAGAGAGCTGGGAACCAGGACTAAAAGCTCAGACAGCCAGGTGGCTTGTTATTTATGTATTTTAGTAATTTTTTTTTTAAGCAGAGAAGTGCTGACCATTTAGCCACTGTGCTGCCCCTGTAATTTTTTCTTTATATATTAATTTAAAAAAAAAAAAAAAAAAGAAGAAACATTGATTTTTCTGATGTAGACTGCATACGATAATACAATAGTCCCAAATAAATGTAGCTAGACTTTTTTAGGGCTCACAATAAATTCCAATCTTAATGGTACACTTGATTATTAGACTAATCTCTGCTTGATTAGATTCTATGGCATATTGCATTTATAAATATGAATAATTTAAGTGGTTGAAAATTAAAAGCAATGTTCCTCCACTAAATAAAAAAAGTGCTAAATGCAATAAACATTTTTTACATTACACAATATAAATGAAAGATATGCTGCATAGCAGCAGGATTCATATTGAAAATAAAACTGTGATACTCAAAATGGAAAATCATGCCACAGCATTATCATAATTTTTCCTTTCAAGAAGATTGGTAAAGTTTTATGTCACCATTAAACAAAACAAATATACTACAGTGTCTGTTTTATATTATTGTCATGCAGAGTGGTCTCTTCCTAAAATTTTTATTTCAATATTCCAAACACAAAATGGGGAGTGATCATGGAGAAACTTGATGTGGCACATGAAGCTGAGGTTTGAATATCTCCCTGCTGATGTTCAGAAGATGGGATCAGGCATCAGGTTCACTTGTCCATAAGTGTTAAAGTGTTTTGAATGATACGCTGTTCAGACTGACCCAGTACTAACAAGTTGTGTGGCCTTGGCCAGTGCTGCTCCAACCACGCCCCCTGAAGTGTTTCGCCTCTCTTACTGAGACATGGTCTGTGACCAAGCCCAGGTGATCGGGGTGAAACATGTCAGGGAGTGTGGCTGGAGCAGCACTGGCCAAGGCTACACAACTTTTTAGCACTGGGTCGGTCATACAATGCTGTACCCAAACAAAATTTACGTCCTTTTTTTACACAAATAGAGCTTTCTTTTGGTGGTATTTAACTAGCTGCCGACCGCAGATAGCCGAATGACGGCTGCACTCTCCTGTGCGCCCCAGGGGGCGCGCCCGGCGATCTCCATGATCGCTGTGTCCTACGGACACAGCTGATCACGTGATGTGGTAAAAGGCCAATCACAGCGGCCTTTTACCACGTGATCAGCGGTGTCCAATGACACGCTGATCAGAGGGAAATGCAAGTTCCGGTTCTCGGCTGCACTTTCCTCATGCTGTCAGATCGTGAGGAAAGTACTGCCGAGAACCGGCAGTTGTCAGAGCGGGGATCAGCACCGATCATCAGGGCACTGATGATCAGTGCCCTGATGATCGGTGCCCAGCAGTGCCACCCGCAAGTTCCGCCCACCTGTGCCCAGCAGTGCGCCCACTAGCCCCGCCTACCTGTGCCCAGCAGATCACCCACCTGTGCCCAGCAGTGCACCCACCTGTGCCCAGCAGTGCCACCTCTGCAGTGTCACACACCTGTACCCAGAAGTGCCACCCACCTGTGCCCACCACCTGTGCCCACCACCTGTGCCCACCCACCAGTGCTGTCCACCAGTGCCACCCACCAGTGCAGCCCAGCAGTGCTGCCAGTCAGTGCCACCAGTCAGTGCCCAGCGGTTGTGCCAGTCAGTGCCGCCAGTCAGTGCCCAGCAGTGATGCCAGTCAGTGCCGTCTATCAGTACCCATCATCAGTGTCACCTATCAGTGCCGCCTATCAGTGCTGCATATTAGTGCCGCCTATCCGTGACACCTCATTAGTGCTGTCTATCAGTGCCGCCTATCCGTGCCACCTCATTAGTACTGTAGTGCCCTTTAGTGCCTATCAGTGCCCATCAGTGCCCATCAGTGTTGCCTCATCAACGCACATCAGTGAAGGAGAAAAATGACCTGTTTGAAAAATTTTATAATAGAAACAAAGAAACTTTTTTTTTTTTCAAATTTTTTGCATTTTTTTATTTATAGCGCAAAAAGTAAAGTGCCCAGTGGCGATTAAATACCACCAAAAGAAAGCTCTATTTGTGAGAAAAAAATTATCAAAATTTCATATGGTTACAATGTTGCATGACTGCGCAATTGTCAATCAAAGTGTGGCAGCGCTGAAAGCTGAAAATTGGCCTGGTAAATAAGGGGGTATAAGTGCCTGGTAGGCAAGAGGTTAATCACATGTGCCCTTTTTATTTTTGGTGCTATAAACAAAAAAATACCAAAAATGTTGAAGAAAAACTATATTTTTTACTTTCGACTATAAAAAATATATAGTAAACTCAAAGTTAGTTATACATTTAGGCCAAAATGTATTCTGCTACATGTATGTGGTAAAAAAAATCCCAATAAGTGTATATTGATTGCTTTTTGTGAAAGTTATAGCATCTACAAACTATGGTATAGATACTGCAATGTATGCCATTTTTTTGCTATACAGAGCTGCACTAGTTTAACTGACAATTGCGCGGTCATGCAATACGGTACTTAAATGAAATTTATGTCCTTTTTTCACACAAATAGAGCTTTATTTTGGTGGTATTTGATCACCTGTGCGCTTTAAACAAAAAACATTTTTTGAAAAAAAACAATATTTTCTCATTTCTGTCATAAAAAATATCCAAAAAAACTAAACTTTTGTCATAAATTTCATCATAAATTTATACCAAAATGTATTCTGCTACATGTTTTTGGTTAAAAAAATCCTAATAAGTGTATATTGATTGCTTTGTGTGAAAGTTATAGCATCTACAAACTATAGTATAGATAATGGAATTTACACAGCTTTTACTTTCTGACTGCCCATCACATTTCTTGAGGTACTAAAATACCAGGATAGTACAAACACCCCCAAATAACCCCTTTTCAGAAAGTAGACACCCTAAGCCATCTGCTGAGAGGCATATTGAGTCCATGGAAGATTTATTTTTTTTCCACAAGTTTCTGGAAAATGACAAAAACATTTTTTTTTACACAAAGTTGTCATTTAAATTATATGTTTCTCACACAAGCCATGAATATGTGTGGAATTACACCCTAAAATACATTCTGCTACTTCTACCGAGTATGGGGATACCACATGTGTGAGACTTTTTAGGAGCCTAGCCACACGCAGGAGCCTGAAATCCAATGACCCCTTTGAAAGCCTAAAGGTGCGTAACTTCCTCATTTCACTTCCTCATACCTATCACAGACTCGAAGGCCCTGAAATGCCAGGATAGCACCCCCCCCCCCCCCAAATGACCCCTTTTTGGAAAGTATACACCACAAGGAATTTAAAAAGAGGCATGTTGAATATTTTTGCAAATCTCATTTTTTTTCTCACAAGGTTTTGAAATATAAAATAAGAAAAGAAAAAATATGTTTTTGATTTTTTTCTTCATTTTCCAAAAACTTGTGGCAACAAACGAGATCTGAAAAATACTTACCATGCTTCTTATCAAATTTCTTGGGGTGTCTACTTTCCAAAAAGGGGTCATTTGGGGGGGTTTGGTGCTATCCTGGCATTTCAGGGCCTCCGAAACTGTGATAGGTAGTCTGGAAGTGTAATGAGGAAATAAAGCCCTTTAAAAGCCTGAAGGTGCTTATTGAATTTTGGGGTCCTGTACTTGGCTAGACTGCCAAAACGTCTCTCACATGTGGTACCCCCATACTCAGGAGCAGTAGCAGAATGTATTTTGGGGAGTAATTCCACATATACCCATGGCATGTGTGAGCAATAAATAATTTAAGTGACATTTTTGTGTAAAAAATAAAAAAAAAATTTTTTAGATCTGTCAGACTTTAGATATCTCCTCTGCCCTTACATTATCTAATCAAACCAAGATTGGTGTGATCAGATGCTTTCCCAATTTACAAATGGTGCTGTTTATATCCTGCGAAACTGAAGTGATTCAATGCTCGTTGCTTCCGATTTCTTAGACAATAGAGATGATTGGCACCATTCTGGTCTCCAATCAGCTCTATGGTCATTTGGCAGAAACAACGGCTGCATTCTCAGGTTCCCCCGATGGCACGGGACTGCCCAAGAAGTCTGTGGAAGGCAGCAGGGGAGGGGGGCATCATCTCCCACTGCTTGTAAAAGCAATCCTGCAGCTAATTAGCCACTAAGATTGCTTTTACATGAAAGCTGATCGCCGGCTGAAAACAAAGATACCAGGATGATGCCTGCAGCTGTAGGCATCATCCTGGTATAACCTTTCAAAGTCCAGTGATGTACCAATACGTCGCTGGTCCTCGTTGGGTATATATACTATGTGTTTTTTTTTATTTTTTATGAAGCCTGTGGGCTGAATGAAAAAAAGAGTAGAAATCTCTGCCAGAAAAAGTGTGTAGTATGTCCACCATTAGAATATACTGCCCTGCATCCACCCACTGCTAATGGTGGGCACACATTAGGTCGCACGGTTCCACATGCGCCAGTTCCAAGATTGTACAAATGTCTAAATAGTGGAACGCATGAATAAAAATTGTCCACGTATAAGTGGTACCTCATATGGAAAAAGGATGACACCAAGTCCCAAACTATCTTGCCACTGCTCCCCGTGTAGTCTGGGCATCCAGGAGGCTCCACATGACTATCTTTTCCCTCGTAAATTTAAAACTTATAAGTATAGCCTGTTGCTCTTTCACAGGTCTTCTACATCTTGACCCCATATCTGGCATGCTTGCTGGGGAGAAATTATTTGAATGCAAGGTGGCCAGAAAAATGAATGAGGGACTCATCAACGCAGATTTTTTGCTGGGGAGTATAGACATCTGCAAATTTTTGGTTAAGGTGATTTACGAGGGGCTGAATTTTGTGGAGCCGGTCAAATTCAGGGTCACCTCGAGGACGACAGAGTGTATTGTCATTGAAATGCATAAAACACATTATACTTTCATATCTATGCCTGGCCATGGCAGCATAGAACATGGGCATATGATGAATCGGGTCTGTGGACCAATACAACCGCAATTAAATTTTTTTTTAGTATTGCCCATGTTGAGGGTTAGGCCCCAAAAAAATTTTAATTCGGAAACCGTAATGATTTTCCATGTGAATGGTCTGGCAAGGTTTGAATTTGGGTTGGTGGCGATAAATTGTTGTGTATATAAATTGCTTTGATCACAATCAATGCATACAGATCTTCCATGAAAAACAGCTCCAAAAGATCAAGGAGAGTAGTTAAATTTGCTGTTTCCACCTGAATTCTGGGTTGGACAGTGAATAGGAGAAGTACAGGTGCTGCAGAATTTGTGGGCTGCCAATCGGGATTTGCAAGCACATCTGAAAGGATACTAGGGGCTCTACGGGCCTGTGTGCAAATTCTTGGTGGTTGAAGGACAATACTTGTGCTCGCCACCGCACCAGCTTGTACTACACTTATGGAACTCGCCACGTCACCAAGTGATACTGCAGTTCTGGTGTGTGAAAGACCAGGATGTACTAGGCCGCTGGTACTCACCAGTTCACCAAAAGGTAGAGCGAAATTAGTACTGGCACTCTGCTGCATATGAGAATATCATCAAAATTTACTGGTAAGTGCAAGCAGAGATCAAGCCTAATTCTGCAAACACTGCGGTTTTGTGTACAATGTATCAAGTGACAGTGACCTACTGACACTGCACTTGCTGGGGAACGAAGGGGGGGTTGTAAGCATAGGGGCTAAATGCAGGTACTGGCAGGTGCCGGGGCTGATCCCGCTAATGCTGTGTTTTTCAGGACACTATGCTAATGTGAACGCTGGTATAGTGCTGATCTGATCAAAGATATTGATCCGTTCAGACACTATACCAGCAATGGAGGTTTATTGTGTGTGAGTGTGTTCCTGGCAATCAAGGGGTTAAATGGATTACTGGTGTACTGATGAGCAATCTGATGCTATCTGGGAGGGGCTTGAAAACCATGGGTCTGTGCACTGTAGCAGTATTTCTGCTATAGGGCAGTCAGGAAGTAGTTACATAAGCGATTTGTGTTATGGTGCTGTGTTACTTTAACTGACAATTGCACGGTCATGAAACGCTGCACTAAAATGGAGTTTACGTCCTTTTTTCCCCACGAATTGGGCTTTCTTTTAGTGGTATTTGATCACCTGTGAGTTTTTATTTTTTGCGCTATAAAAAAAAGACTGACAATTTTGAGCAAAAAAACAATATTTTTGGACTTTTTGCTATAAAACATGTCCAGTATAAAAATGTTAAAATCAAATTACATCATAAAAATTTCATCCAAAATGTATTCTGCGACATGTCTTTGCTAAAAAAAAATCCCAATTAAATTAGTTGGTTTACGTTAACGTTATAGCATTTACAAATGGCGGCATAGATACTGGATTTTTATTTCTTTAAATACTAATAATAGCGGCGATCAGCGACTTATGGCGGCAAACAGCGACTTATGGTGGCGATCAGCGACTTATGGCAGGACTGCGGCTGACATTCTGACACTGGGGGGTGGAATTGACTTGGGGTCAGTGCAAAACAAAAGCACCAACACTGTATTAATGGCACTGGGGAGGAAGGGGTTAACATTTGAGGGCAATCAAAGGGTTAAGTGTGTGAGGGGCGTGTTTTACTAGGGGGCAGCGAGTGTGTGCTTCACTGTAAGCACACTGATCTGGAAGGCTGAGCTCAACAATTTGGATCAGTGTGCTCAAACTGACAGGGAGGAGAGCTCCATTGAAAACAATGCAGCTGTCCTCTCTGTCAGTGTTTGCGGCAATCGCCAGTCTCTGGCGGGTAATCACTGGCTGGGAC